CAGCTCCGGGCGCAGCTCGGGGACGCGGCTGCGGAGGGACCCGCTGCGGGTCAGCCCCGGGAGGGGGGTGGAGGCTGGTGGCTGTCGAGCTGAGATTCCCAATTATTTTTCTGTTTGTGTTTTTCTTCATTTGTTTTAGGTTAATCAAAATGCAGGCTCCTTTGGCTCTCCTCAGCTCCCCGGCCCTGGTAAGTCACCTCTCTGTTCAGGGGACTATCCAGGTGCTGAGCAGGGATAGATGATTGTGAAGCTTTTCTGTGTGGTGCTGGGTTGAAAAGACTGTCCTGGATGCCCTCGGCTGAGGTCGGGTCAGGGGGGGTCGGTTTTACCGTGTATTTAACAAGGAGGGGGAACAAGGTGACCTCTGGTGACCGGAGGGTGAGACCTACCATCTTGGTAGATGTGCAATGAACTGCAGGTCCAAGGGCTTCTCTAAAGATAAGCTGAGTGTCGCGGGGGTGCTCGGTCGCCTCTCGAGGTGTGAGGAAGGAAGGGAACACACGGAATGGCAGCAGTGCCTGACCTGTGGTGTGGGTACAACACTCACCGTGCTGCGGGGTGTGCTCCGTGGTACTGTTCTCGTGGACTTAATCCAACTGGCTAAAATAGCAGTATCCTACAAGCCCATACTGCCTCTGCTTTTTAGTCTTGTTTCATTCTTGAAGTGTTTTAAAAAATGGTAAGATTGTTGTTTGTATAATAACTGCTCTCTCCTGAGGAGGAGTGGGAGCACATCTGACTCCAGGAGTTAACTCTCTGTTTTGCTGCAGTTCCGATGCTGCTCCAGGGCTCTGGCCAGACCAGTTTCGGTGTCTGTTTTCAGCAGGCCTGAGGCTCAGACTGTACAGGTGAGGCTCTTGTGTGGCAAACAGGCTCCCTTGTTTCTGTGCTTTCCACCTGTGACGATTGGTGGTTCCTCCTGAGATGGAGGAGCAAGCTTGTAACCCCAGAGGATGGCTAGTATGGAAATAGAGCTCCTAGCCCAGACTGGTGATGGCTTATCCAGCGTGGCACGTCCTGCTCTGCCTTGGGGAGAGGATAAACAGTGATTGTGTTTTATTAAAGTCTTACATTTATGACTAAGTGTGTCATTAGTGTGTTTCTTCTCCTGTGCCCTGCAGCCAGCTGGTGTTTCCCCTGCACAGCTGACCCGCCGCGAGTTCCAAACCAGCGCCGTTTCCAGGGATATCGACACGGCTGCGAAATTCATCGGGGCCGGCGCTGCCACGGTCGGGGTGGCCGGTTCAGGAGCGGGTATTGGGACGGTGTTTGGCAGCTTGATCATTGGCTATGCCAGGTAAGGAGCATGCCAGCCTGGCTTGAATTTATTCCCTTCTTCCAGCACTAAATTTAGTAGATCAGAAGAGCTTTCTCTGGAATATATGTCCAGTTCTACACGTGTAGCATGTAGATACTGTGTTTAACTGAAGCAGTCTTCCTTGGAATATAAAATGGTTGTTATAATCCATTATTCTATTAAAATAACTGAGAAAGCACCTGAATTGTTTGAATCTACCCTATACTTCTGAAGGATGGAGCTGCTCTGTGCAGCTCTGCCTCTGGAAGGAATGGAGCACTGGTGGTTAGTGGGAGCTGTTGCTTGGTACCACCAGGGCAGTGAAATGAGCCTTCAGGGTTCAACACGTCACTAAAACCAGGGAGAAATCCTGGTTTTCTCATTCCAGCCGGTGGCTGCCTGCCATAAATCTGGTTTGTGCTCCAAAATCCGTTGCCTGTGTGACATAATCCTGGTTTTCTGCGATACGGGCTCTGGTTTGGGGTTGTTTTTTCTCACTGTGGATCCTTTTTTGGTTTTTTTTTTTTTTCCTCCCCTTCTCTCTCTGGTGTGTTCCCTCCCTTGTCCAACATCCAGGAATCCATCTCTCAAGCAGCAGCTCTTCTCCTATGCCATCCTGGGCTTTGCCCTGTCCGAGGCCATGGGGCTCTTCTGTTTGATGGTGGCATTCCTCATCCTCTTTGCTATGTGACAACTTCTGGTCCTGGCTGCGGCTTCCATCACTCTGTCCTC